CTAAAGGCTTAGGACGCTCGCACGGAATGCAAGAGATCCGGGTTCGACTCCCGGCCGAGGCATTATTTTTCGCAATAAGTTTTATTACAGTTTTTAAGTTGGGGAATTTGGGGGGATTATTAATATTTTCAGATTTGATTGCGTTGAAAGTCCGACAACCATATCGGCACGCAATTATCATTTCTGAAATTAATTCATTTAAATGAATTTACAATAGTTCAACATCTTAACGTTCTGACCGTTATGGCGCTTCTTAATTTAATTTTAATATTATAATACCTGAACATCATTCTGGAAGCTAGAGGCTTTCACATTTTCCGATAACTTAACAGATACGTAGTAGTCCCGAATGTTCCCGAATATTTCGTCTATTTTTCCAATCTGCTGTTTATTCTCTGTGTAGATTGGAGCATTGAAAAAAGGCACCTGTTCAATGTCGACTTTAAGAACTAAATCGTTTTCTACCGTCCATGTGAAATGTCCTAACGGCGTTACTGTTTCTGGAGGACCTTGATCATACCTACAATAAATTTGCAGCGAAAAACATTTTAATGTCTTGGAGTTTTATTTGTAACCTAACCTAATCTTCGACAAATTTGTCTGTCGCATTTTTTATGCAAATTATTATTACAATATTCATAAAATTACCCTCTGTTCCTATCGAAACCACCAGGACGTCCCCTATTAAATCCTCCGCCTCCTCGACCACCCCTAAAACCACCGCCACCCCTACCGCCGCGTCCACGGAAAGACATAACCTCTTACAGAAGCAAACTGTCAACAAACGTTTCCACAATTATCACGCTGATTGTGAGTAAAATTATTTCATAAAATTTATACTCTTTTTAAATCAATATTTTTATATACCTTAATTGAATCAAAAACAAAAACGTATTTTCACGTATTTCTGCAGATACACCGAACGTAAAGTATACTCCACGTGTAACACGTGTAAATTCAATGCAATCCAGTGCACATTTGCGACATTTGGTGTAAATGGGACACCATGGGACACCGGCAAAACTTCCGCACGCATGCGCATGATGGAATCAGATCACCAGTCCACTATGCGCATGCGTACAGCGATACGTCACAAATCATGTGACTATTCTCGAATCATGACACTCGTATTTTAATTTTTATGATGAGATATCTCAACAGTTTTGTTTTTTCAGACGAATAATTATACAAAAACATATCTGTATATCATACGATAAAATAGTACGAACAAAAAACAGGTTAAGTTAGGTTAGGTTTTAAAAAATAGAACTTTTATTTTATATAATACTTATAATTGTCCGTTCGATCAGAATAGGGTGATATAATAAGATTTCATCAATTAAATAAAAGAATGAAATAACTCGTTGATTTAAATATATCAATTTATTACTATATATATAATATATAACTATGTATAATCCCATACAGCACAAAAGTTATAGCAATAATGCTGCAACATTGCAACAAAATTGCAGCGTTATTGCAACGATATTGCTGCACGTTCTGTGCTGTATGGAATCAATACAAATTAAAAATTTGTATATTTTTTTTAAACACTGAAATCCCCAGTAATGCACATAGTTTTTACATAAATTCTTAACAATGCAAGTTATTAGACATATAAAAATATATTAATTAGTTTTAAAAATTCCTTTCTAGGGAAGACTTGATATCAAGCTTTGGAAATTTGGACTATCAGGATCTTATTAGATTCTGACAGGAAGTATACTCTTGTCAAACAGTAGATTTATTAAAAATAATTTTTCTACGGCGCAAATCAGAATTTCTGCGGATGGTCGGTGTGTTTAAGTAATCATCAACGGAAATATATTTCGGTCCACCAAAGGTGTCCAATAAGGCAATTGTAGTTATGTCCAACTGGGCGAAAAAGAAACGGTGATCTGTGCAAATAAATGATGCAATATAGGCCCACTTTTATCAATGTAGATAAATTTTAATCTTGGGTTAATTTACTCTATATCTTTTTTTAATTCTTAGAAATAGAAAAAGATAAAAAGTATAATTTATAAATGAGATTAATAAAGTTAATCTACATGATAGAAATGGACACCAATAATCTTAATATACGAGGGGGGACCCAAAAAAAACGGGAATTTCGTCATAACTTCTTTATTTCTCAATATTTTAACACCAAATTTTGATCACCTTCAAAGTATTCGCCATTGACCACAACGCACTTCTCCAAACGATTCTTCCATTGTTCAAAACAGTTTTTAAATTCACTCATCGGGATGTCCTTTAAGCCTTCCAGCGATTTTTGTTTCACCTCCTCCACAGTGGCAAAACGCTTTCCTTTCATATTCCTTTTGAGTCTGGGGAACAAAAACCTCCAAGTAGAGCTTCTGGTTGGCAGTTTGACCCGGGGGAACGAACTCCGCGTGCACAACACCTCTGCAATCGAATCTGCCACTGTGGAGGAGGTGAAACAAAAATCGCTGGAAGGCTTAAAGGACATCCCGATGAGTGAATTTAAAAACTGTTTTGAACAATGGAAGAATCGTTTGGAGAAGTGCGTTGTGGTCAATGGCGAATACTTTGAAGGTGATCAAAATTTGGTGTTAAAATATTGAGAAATAAAGAAGTTATGACGAAATTCCCGTTTTTTTTGGGTCCCCCCTCGTACATTAAAATTCTTTAGGTAATATATGGAGAGACTAGGCTGTATTTCACTTAGCACTCGCAATGTTCTTGAAATTAACCATTTCACTTTTGTTGTTTATCAAGTATTAAACAAGCACAAATGTGTTTGCAAGTGTTGTGAAGGCCAATCTTTTATAACGATTTTACCTGCAGGCATATTCTGTAATTTTGGGTGACGACCGAAAAATAATTGTTCCACGACTTTCTGAGTCTCGTTTTTCACCTGTTAAAACATTGAATATGTTAGCGACAAAAAAATACAAATACAAAAATTAGTGAGTGATTTACTGACCGCTTTAATCTTTCCAGTCAGAAGGACTCTAGCGCATCTTGGGTCCATCGGATCATATCCCTTATCCTTGCAATAGTTTCCTTGAGCTAATGATACGAACACAGTCGCACGATGATCTTTCTGTAACAATCATGTATTGACATGATATAGTTACGATCAAAATTTAGATGAGACAAACGAGTTAGAATTATTTAAAAAATTTTGATATTTTATATCAGTTAAAAAGAACATGATATCTTTTTCAATTTGATAATGAAAAATAATCGTTATCGTGTCACGTTTCGAATTAAATTATTATATAATTTAATTTGTTTTCAAATTAAATAGCAAAATTACAATTAAAGTTATGATTTATCTCGTGATAAGACAGTTATTAAAATTTTTTTAATATAACTTGTATGATAAGATAGTAATCAAAATCTTTTTAATCATACACAACATGCATGATATCAAAATGGAACATGATAGCAATTATTTTTTACATTTTTTAAATTATATTTTTATGGAAATATAATCAAATATTAAATTTGATCATTTCAAGCTGGAAAAGATGTTAAGTATTTTTTAATTGATAAAAAATATCAATATACAAAATAAATTCTGGTAATATTTTCTGACATTTGTACAATGTAATTTAAAAAATTGTTGCTATCGTTTTGATATCACGCACGTATATTCCATATAATTAAAAAAATTTTTAAAGATTATTAATTTATCAAGAAACAAAAATGTAAAATTATCAGATTGATTATGCTATGATGTCTTTTGCATCACATTTTAATAGGATTATTGTATTGTCCTTTATATTTTTCAATTTCTATAAACTCTTCGTAAATGTTTTAGATAGTACACAAAATGTATAGTACAATTGTATCAATATATAACGTATATACAGTACAATGGCTGTGTTCCAAAATTTACTGCCAGTGTTGAAAATTTACAGTTTACGTTACGTGTACAATTATATTTGTACCTAAATATCTTTCAAACGGTATCTGTTTCAAACGTCTGTTTATAACACTATACTTACAGCAAGATCTTGAGCGGTATAGTCCAAAGGGGTGAGATACATGTACGGTATTCCGGTACCGTCTCCAACAGGCCCATCGGCGATGGAGATCAAATTTGCAACGGGAAAGTCTGGAACATCTTTCCTTGTGCTTATCGTCGCTACGGCCCCCCAATCTGCAAATACATAGATCCATATAATACTGAGTCCATAAATAGGTACGTTAATGGTACATAAAGTGTGCTGAATCATTTTTATAAAACACACATCCCTTTTCTATGCAATAAGTTACAATTCTGATCTTTTCAGATGGATTCGAATAAATGGAAAAATTTGTAATTTCTTTATTTATTCTCTTCTGAAAATAAAATTGTTCTTTTTTTTCGTGTTTGTATTTGATGGCGACGAGTTATTTATTAGTTGATACCAAATCAAATATGTCTGGCGTGAGGCCAAGATATCAGTATTCTGTCGAAATAAGTAGCAAATAGTGTACGTATATACAATTTCATCTACAAGATGTGTGAGTGAAACGCGATAATTTAATGTTATTTCAAGTGCTTTTTGTATCTTTCGCCTTTCGATGATTATCTTGATACACATGTTTTGATAAAATGACATGCAAATTGTGTGACAATTTGCATTCATTTACAATATTTACATATTTAATTAAGGTGAGATATTGAATAGAAGCTGCCTGCACGCGTTAACAAAAATATTTATTATAATAAATAAATGGTTCCTCTCTTTCTCTCTTGTAAATAGCTATGTATTTTATATTAATGCAAAATTGTATATGTAGAATATATCAGCATATATTCTTTATGTATATATCAGAATATCAGCTCATATAATTTATAATGATAAACTTTTATACACTATTTTACATAATTATCAAAGTTACGTAAGTAAGATAATTTTTATCTTTTAATGAAGTTAAGTTAAAGTTACTGATCTATAAAATTAACTTTGTTATTTTAAAAGTTGCATGAACAAGAAACTAATAGCGTTTTTCACTGGCAGAGCTGGTGCGCACTCAGTGCACTTTAAAGCCGTTGTACAATCGATGTAAAAATGTACGTTCAATAAAAATATAGAAACGAATTAAACCGCGAAATCCTCAATATATTTTATTGTGGTATATAAATATATGGTTTGATAAAATATACATTGGGTATTTTATTAATTGAGATATCTCACTTTTACATTCAAATTAAGTTAGTGTAAAACAGCTTTAATATGCACTGAGTGCGCACCAGTTCTGCTAGTAAAAAACACTATAAACACTTGATTAAAAGTTGCATTAAGATTAAATTAGCTAAAAATGAAAATGTAATTTTTAAAAATTAGAATAATTAAATGTTAATATGGCTCAATTAGAATAAATCAATAAATAAAACAAGGGCAAACGAGCCAACTACAATATAAGATCTTTAATAAACGTATATATATACAATAATCAAACGTTTCGACACGTTTAAAAATTAGATTAAAATCTAAATGATAAAGAAATTTGGATTATCAAATGAATTTAATATTTTATTTGCGAAATAAGTGTTTTGCAAAAGGAGTTAAAATCAAAAGTTAATATATTTAAAATTAACCAAGTTAAGTTAAACATTGTTAATTTTTTAACTTTATTTACTTTTAACTAATTAACTACCCAATCTTGATTATTTTATTAATGTAAAAACTTATTATTTGGTAGGTGCTAATGATATCACGTTGATTACCAGCTTGATTAACGATGTATCTTGCCATTACGGCCGGTGGTAAATTCTGTAATGTCCGAGTACGACTTCTCAGCTGAGCCTCTCGATCATCGTCGAACCCAATTGAACGCGTTGAGAACTCGGCAGATTTGTATAACTCATCCTTTGTCTCACTCGCTTCAACGTTCTCTTGAATTTTGTTCCAGAATATTTCCTTCATTTCATTAAAGTTGCGTGCTTCGCTCGATAGAACGCATAGAGCGATGATGATCGCGATTCGCGACATCATGATATGCGCTATGTATATTTCACGATGCGTAAGCAAGACTACGCTCAGCGCTATTTCTCTCAATTAAAATGAAGCTTGGGAGCAAGTGCGCCTTACAAGTGGTTAATGCTGACTGCGCGCGCTTTACAAACTTCGCGATAAATATAATGAGATGACTGATTTTTGTGACTTGCGCGGTGAGAACGGATTCAACAAATCAGATTCGAGTGCAAGCTCGTATCATTATCACGTGCTTTCAGCAAATTAATACGTGACAAAGTTTGAAAAAGATATCTCTGAATTTAATCTTTTAATAATATCGCGTTATATATATTTTTTTTAACTCGATATCATAAAAAAGGGCCAAGACATATCGAGCAGAAATCGATCTCAATCTGTATTCGATGCGTCTGGACGTTATCTTCTTTGTTACGACTCGAGTTTCCGTGAAGTGGAATCCCTATGAATTTTTATCATAACGGTTGATGATAAATCGATGATATTTCGTTTTTCAGGAAAGGCAAATGAATTTATGAATCGTTCCCCCGACAGATTCATAAAATTTTAGAAGACCGTTTGTGGTACCTGGTTGTGGTGCAAGGTCGAAGAAACTGGTACGCCGGCCGCTGCGAGGCACTCGGCTCGATGTGGGTCGTCGTCTAACTGTTCTACGTACCGTTTCTCCGCCCCTGACTCTGTATCCTTCGACAGCAGCAGCAACAGCGAACGGACACCTACACGATGATATCCGTGTACCCCACGCTATACATTACATCGTACGGTAATATTAGCGGCAATACGATCGTGATAGTACGCCCTTCTTATGCCTTTTTCGTCGGAGAGAATCTCCCTTGTTGCTGTCGAAAATTTTTAATTGTTATTAGTTTCCAAAACACGCGAAATTTTTTATTACAGCCCTACATACGCATAATGTTATTTAATATTTTAAGCATATTCTTAGAATATTAGATGTACATTTAATATTCTAAGAATATGTTTAAAATATTAAATAATATTATACGCCTATAGGGATAATACTCGCGTTTGAGTTTAACAAAATATTCTTATATTGTACTTCGACTAAAATATTTTTCTCTTGAGTCGTTCGTATCTGAATTAATTTTCGTCCCTTGTACAGAAAAATTATTACGTAATTATTTTTACGTATACTTTAACATCTTTAGAAAATATTTGTAAGGTTTTGTATTTAAAAAAAGAAAGGATAGAAATCATTATTTAATCAAATGCTCTTAGCATCGTTATCATTCCAAAGAAAAGAAATGGATAAGACACGAATGACCCAATCGTGATTTAATAATAATAAGACTTCGTCGTTGTATACGATTTAATAAATAGCTTTTAACGTCATAAAAATAAAGCTTTGTAAAAACATTTGATAGAAAGTATATTTTGAACGAAGTGCATTAGTCGTGTTATCTTCGTGACATCCGCTTTTTACGCATTTTGTAAGTAAATGCAGATTTCCGTTATCCTTTTATCTTATTGGATGCCACACCGGGTTTTAGCTATCGCCTCTCTGTAATCATTCGCTTCCTCGTTTCTTCTTTACTTCGCGGATGGCTGCGGCGTTCTCCTACTCTTTGGGTCATTTGGAGCGAGATCTTCCTCCACCGCGCGCGTGTCCTCTTGCCATCTCTTCGTCCTCCTGCTACCGTCCTGACGACAAGACTGTTCAGTCGTTATACGACCTTCATCCAGGGTTACGTTCTTTCCCGCGGCTCTGATTCATCGTTTTTGACCCACGTTGATTGCATCCGGAAGAAGCGATTTTTTCAACAACGAAGTCACACACAACACAAAACTGTTACGCGATTGCTATGTTTGATTAAATGTCAGATGTTACATCGAAAATCGTGTGTGGATGAATTAGTGAACAACCACAAGAGCAGGAATTGCAAGAAGACGAAGGGTGGCCTCGACCCGTCCGTGACCCTACTGTTCTTCCACGTAATCGAGGTATAACAACTGCTCTTTCGTGAAAAATTATTTGTTATATTTGCACAATTAATACTAAAGCGTTTTTCGATGCAATATTTGTGCGATAGATTCGTCAAGTGACTAAATCTATAAACAGTAGAAACCAAACAGAGACCTGTAGAATTTTTCATTAGTACGTTAATGAATAATTTATGTTTTTAATTCTCTGGATTAAAGTTAAAATATTTAACAAGTACCGATTCGTAATACGAGTCAAAGAAATCTATCATTTAAAAAAAAGATATTAATTGTTGTTCTCGAGATTTACATGTATAATATTTAAATATTTATATGTTTCGCGAATAAGCCACCCTAAATCGAAGACGAAATGATTCAAAACATGATTGTGAGTCTAGAGGTTCGCGTGCGAAACTGAAATTACACAATTCGAGGACAAAACCCCGAAACAAAGTGGGTCATACGTCATACTGACCAACATCACCTGGCGCGTCCTATTCACCATGCCAGAAAATACCGAGACACCGGGTCACGACATGGACGTTGTTACAATCCGTGTTATGAATAGTGAACGGCATTAGACGATTTTAACGGGCGAATACATGTCACTGTGCAACGTTATTCGACCTGGATATTAAGAATGAATTACACATATTTTCAAAGTAATGAAAAAATTACAGATTGTTCTAGACTGCATTTAAAAGTAACACAAAAAATTCACCAATGATTTAGAACTTGGATAAAAAATTATTTCAATTGCAATAAGAAGTAATATTTTTGCGTGCTTTAATGGAAATGTATTATAAAATATCTGTATAAAAATGTATTATAAAATAATGACAATAATCTCAATTTTTTTGTATAAATACTTTAAATATTAAAATGATTTAAAACTTTACAATGCAGAGATTAGTTATTCTGTAAATAAAGAATATTTATTTGTTTATTTACAAAACAATCTCTGCATCGTAATAAAACTTTGCATAAAATATTTTGAATATTTAAAATACTTATACAAAAAATTGAGATTTTTGTTATTTTTTAAAATTTTACATATTACAGTAATAAAAAATAACAAATAAAATAAATAAATTATAAAAATGCATTGTTGAATAAAAATACAATATTATAAACACTACACTTTTGTATGTATATAATTTATTTAAAGTATAAATAAAGCATAAAGTATTAACCTATTTATAAAAATTAACATGTAATACATTTTTAAAATATGCTAATAAAATGATAGATTATCAGACCCGTAAAAATTAGGAGGAAACAAAACGGATCCGTACGGAAAGCGTGTAGAAAGAGAAAAGAAAAAGATGGTGCGATGCCGGAAGACGAGGAGAGAGGCTACTGAAACCCGTTATACATTGAAACGGAATTCCACTTGACGTAATGTAGTCGAAAAATCTACTGTCTTATACGTTACAAATTTATTAGAATATCTATGTTGACGTGCGAATTTGCATTTATCCCGAATATAAATCCTCACCAAATTGGCGCATGCATTTACCGCCTATTTATCTTACTTGCAATCGATCGAACGGAACTTGTTCGGAATAACGGCCTTACGTTTATAATTAAAGTCTCATTTGACATTACCATGTTACACCTTAAGACATATGACGCGCGTTTACAGTAATATTTCCGGAATCATTCACAGCTTATTATATCTAAAAAACTAAGCTAATTGCACTGCAGTACACATCTTCCATAGATAAATTGTGTATGTGGAACACTAATTTAATTATGTCGCAATGTTTAATCATACTGAATGTAGGTCATGTTTTTTTATCGTTTCATGCGTTTCTTTCACTAATGTGAAACGCAACACCCGCATTCGAAATTGAGATAAGAACCATCGCTTAAATACTAGTTATAACGTTTTTCACTGGCAGAGCTGGTGCGCACTCAGTGCACTTTAAAGCCATTATACACAAATCGACGTAAAGATATGTACGTTTAATAAAAATATAGAAATAAATTAAACTGTAAAATCCTCAATACATTTTATTGTGGTATTTGATAAAATATACATTAGGTATTTTATTAATTGAGATATCTCACTTTTACATTCAGTTTAGATTAGTGTACAACAGCTTTAATGTGCGCACCAGTTCTGCCAGTGAAAAACGCTATTAAATACGACGCGAAATGCTGGCGTGAGAAAACAAGAAAAAATGAATGAAAAGGAAAGCTAGATATTATATTGCACAGATATTGTGAACTATAATTTATCATGCCACCGAATTGATCATAAGCACGATATTTTCCAGGCATCATATGTGAGAGATGCGGAGACGCCTGTGGATGCTCCTCGCCCTTCTGGTATGTGTGTCAGGTGAATACCTGATGGGCGGCCACTTGGACAACAATGCGGGGTCAACGACTCGATCCGGTAAAATCGACAGCTCTTCCGTGTTGGGACGTAAAACACGTCTGGACGACCTTGACCTGGATCTCGTTGCGGCGGAGAGCACCGTTGCTGCTGGCACTGAGATTTCAACCGGCGACGACGGTGTTCCACGTTACCGTGTCCTGCCTTTCGCCTTCAATGGCGGCAAACCGTTCTCTCTGGAGAAGGATCCGATAACCGGTAAGATCGACTTCGAGAAGGCACCGCCTGTCAAAGCTCTCAACTACACCGGTCGTTATCGCGAGCGAGAGGACAAAGAGAGCAAAGACGATGACGATAATAGAGATGCTGAGGAGAGTGTGTACGTAAAGCAGGAAAAGATAAGGAACAAGGATAGGAACGGCCCGAACGAGATCACGCCTAACTTTCACGATTTCCTCAGTTTACCCGTTCATTATTCTTCGGACAAATATGGAAACGATAAGTATCCGTTGATCTCGAGCTCGTACGCGAATACGAAGGTACAGAGCGGCACCAACAGTTACAGCACGTACAATCATAGACATCATTCGGAGAGCGATCTATATGTACATCCCGTCAAAAACTATCCACCGACAAAAACGAGCACGTACAGAACTACGACCGTCAACGATCTTAAAACGAAAGAGACGAGCACTGCGCATCCTTTAACGACTACGACTTTCGCATCACCAATCACGATGAACTCTGCGATTTCTACCTCAGCCAAAGTACCCGTTGTAACCACGTGGAAGCCGTCCAATACTGCGATCACGTTTCATTCAATCGACCGTTTCGAGGCGGAAAACGAAAAGAATCT